GTCCCCCACAGAAGGTTGCGACCTCAAGTCCAAGTACATTAAACTGTACGCCATGACGTAGCAACGAGGTGCCGTTATTCGTACTCACGGTGTCGGTTCATTGCCGGGTGTCCGATCGCATCGTCCGTTGATCGGTCGGTCAATAAATCAAGTGAGGCAAAATTCGGGGAGTAAAAGTCTCCATTAGTCAAACGATGATCGACTGTCGTCACGCAAAGAAATGAATGAGCTCTCGAACGAAAAACCGCTGAAACTAATGATCTGAACGCTTAAGGAACTCACTGGTCAGCATGTCGTTTGCTGACTGTGCTGACCAAGCGATGCCTCGTAGACGGAAGTTGTATGAAAGCGAAACCTCTGAACACCGAATACGCAAATCAGAGTAAACTCGATAAATCGGTTGAGAGAGTCGTGCCGTGACTTTATTACAGCGAGGTGGCAGCATCGCACCAGAGGAGTTGAGAAGATTAAACGAGTGGATCACCACCTAAGGCATTGTTTATCAAACAATCTTGATCGCGATCATAATCTTTTCCCTACTTGGCGACCCGAACAGCCAGGGCACGTAGTCTCAATCGACTATCGTTCTGACATGTACTCTGTGGTTATTAAGGCAACCTCAATACAGTAATTAACATAACTAAAACAGAATGAACTTTAGGCATATGCAATTAAAAATAAACCCCCTGTATTATGGGTTTTCTAGCAAACTGACAGTTTTCAATACAGCCGGCAATAATGACGACCTCCTTTCACTTTCCGGATTCGTACAGCACAGTCGTACTGGAGCTTGCTTTTACTGTGCATGACTACGGATCGAGATGTATTCGTTTGTGTTCGAACATTTACTGGTTCAGCCCAGCAAGCCGCGATGTTTTCCGCTCATGCAATGATGCACAGGCGATAAAATACCACGGAGCCGTAACCTGATTAAACGATCCCCTAGACTACTATAAACAGAGGAACGGGGTGACTGTGAGGTACGAATCCGGAGAAATGACAGGGGATAAGAAGGAAATTAATTATTACTTTTGCTAATGATAATCAGATAAAGTTTAAGGTAACCTTTTACTAAAAAATCTATTTTACCAAGATCTTTCCGTATCGTTCGGGAACATTCTTCCGACCCACATTTAGAACGTTAACCGGGCTGGGAATTGCTTATTGCTTACCTAGGGCAACGCAGCCTAGCCATATGATCAGCATACGCGTACTCGTAACTACCTGCGACGGAAGTTTTTCTTTTGCGTTTTTGGCTTTAGTACCCGGATCCACACCGAGGTATAGTGACAAATATGCTGTCTCTACTGATGATTGCCTCGAATAAATTCTTCGGAACTCTCGTGCACGTTTTGGAGGATTGGTAGCAACCAAATTAGGAAACCTGACTACATGCAAACTGAAGTGATTTCAATTATCTTTCCATTCTGAAGGCTAGTGGGACATGTACAAGTGTAGACCGGGAAAAATTGTCTTGTATGACAAGTGTATCCTTAAGAAGAATACCCTGACTGCACCTCTGGGAGGAAAGATGGGAGACTGCGTTTTTGCGGTCCAAGGGCGATATTTATGAACACATCATCGCAGTTCAACGGTTGAGGTAGGAAACCACCGGATGGACGACTTTCAGTGTTCTTGACGCGTCTGCCATATCGCCGTTTGGTATGAAGCGCTAAATTTTGCATGTTGCAAATGCCTCCAGAACGGAAGGTTATGCAACTGTTTCTTGCGAATCCCACCGGCACAAGGCCCAGGGGACGGCCAACAATTAACGTGGTGCAAATATATGGAAGGAGTCTGTTTCAGACTCCATTTGTCTTCTTTGAAGCCCAGAGTCTGGCACAATTTCGGGAACGTTGGAAGCTCTCTATGACGTGTCTGCCCCCGCCACCCGAAAGGAGAAACGGTTATGGAAGAAGGAGGTATGAAGAGTGCACTTCGGGCGATAAAATGGTTCTTGGCTTGACTGTGTTCTCCATAGTTACGTTTAAGCCAGTTCCCAAATTTCCGTCTTTGCAGATGGTGTGCTGTTGTATCATGTCTTGTTCTAATCTGGCCATCGACATGGAGCAAATAGATTATTTTAAATATCTTGATATAGTCTACCTAAAGACGGCGATGTTGATTCTAAAACAAACCCACGGTCTGGCTTTAAATGAGCGAATTTTGGGAACCTGTCTGAATCTATGGATCAGATTGTAACATCGCATTGGCGGACTTCATATACAATATGAAAATGCTGGCTGTCATGAAACATCGTGGAACTTGTATCGACAACTTCCAGAAACGCTGTGTATAGAGTATTATCAAAGTGCAGTGGTAATGCAAAGCCGTAAACAAGTAGGTGCTG